TTTGCCGTGTCTTCATACAGGCGTGATTGTGATAAAGTTATCGTGATTAATTCGACGGACTGAATTATATCGTCTAAATTTTATTTCCAGCCCTCCGGCTAACAATGTATGTCTTCAAAAATACTGTAAACAAATAACATTTAACCCTAATCTCACGTCATACACAACACAGATACACACATGATTCGTTCAAAGACATTTTGCTGATCACGACAATTTCTTTTATATAATACATATCGATATTGAGATAAACAATTTTAACAAATTTATCTAACAAATTTTTCCAACGAGCTTTTTTTCAAAAATAAAAAAAATGAACGTAAATAGTCAAACTCGCATCGACAAATTAAATGTAGTTGAAAATAATTGTTCTTATTGCAACAAACCTTTTAAAGAGAGATTATGGTGTAAACAATGTGATCCTTTGGATATGATTGAAGGCTGGACAAGCGGAAATCTTGATATTGATAATTTCCTAAAAGAAATTATTTATAACGCAAGCATTGAAAAATATATGTATAAAAAATTTTTTCTTGAATGGGTACCTTTTGATAGGTTCACCGATATAAAAAAAATTGGTGAGGGGGGATTTTCAAAGGTGTTTTCTGCAACATGGATCGATGGTAAATCGAAATTTTTAGAGCAAGAAGATAGAAGTTTTAAAAAATCAGATCCTGAACCTATGAAGGTTGCTTTGAAAAGGTTAAATGGATCGCAGGATATGTCGTCTGAATATTTCAATGAGGTATATTTGATTTATATTTGATATTTATTAAGTTAATTAAATTAGAATATTTCTAATCTGTTTGAATTTTATTACATGAATTAGCTTAAAGCACATTGGTATTTATATAAAAGTGTTAATTTATCTTTACCCTTTTATGGAATAACCAAGGATCCAGGAACCAATGAATTAATAATGATCGTAAAATTTGCAGATCAGGGAAGTTTGAGAAGTTATCTTACAAATAACTTTGTCAATATTTTATGGAAAGATAAAGTTAGGCAATTATACAATGTAATATCCGACCTTGATGATTTACATAAGATCGGATATTGTCATAAGGATATCCATAGTGGGAATATTTTGCAAGATAAATTATATTCTCATATTTCAGATTTTGGAATATCAGGACCAGTAAATAAGCAAAAATCTGGTGATCAAAAAGTATATGGAGTATTACCATATATCGCTCCAGAAGTATTTAACAATGAATTATATACTTTTGCTGCTGATATCTATAGTTTTGGAGTGATTATGGTCGAATGGTCATCTGGAAATCCTCCATTTCATGATAGAAAACATGACTTATTTTTAGCCTTAGAAGTTTGTAAGGGACTTCGTCCAGAATTCGGTAAAGGAACTCCCGAATTCTATAAGAAATTAGCCAATAAATGTATGAATGCTGATCCGAATCAAAGACCAACAGCTAAGGAATTGTATCAAATCTTTTCTTTTTGGTATAATTCTAATAACAAAGAATCGAATGACCAGGAAAAAGAATTTGATGGAGTTTGTGAAAAAGAAATAAAGGACGCTTTTGAAAAAGCTGATAAAGAAATCCCCAAGATACTAATTTCACGTAAAGAAAATCTTGATGCTGTGTATCATAGTAGAGGATTTTCATCTAAAAATTTGACAATACCAGTCAATTCAGCTTCGGATCTTAAAAAGCATGAGAATAATAAAGGTATTAAATACTAAAATTTTAATTTGTTTAAAGATAATAAATAATAACTTTAATGTATTTTGATAGATACACAAGAAATAGATTCTCAATTAGTCGAATTAGTAATTTCTAACTCATTACAATTGAAAGGTAATATAATGATTTATCAATTTATTTGTTTGCATTTACTATATATATAATCTATTATTGATTTCATAATTTTTATAATAGACGTCAATAAATGAAATTATTTATTTTTTTCTTTATCTTATTTACGTTTAATATTAAATTAAATAGCTAATTATATTACAATAATAGAAATAATTTATTTTCTATTTAATTTTATATTTTATATTCAATTTCAATTATTGATAAAATAAACTAAATAAAATGAAGTTTAATTATTGAGCGGGTATTCTTAACACATGAGCAACTGACCAATTTTAACTTAACTAACTAATTAATCATGATCTGGTGAGAATTGAATATGTTAGTTTAACAACTGAGGCCAATCTATTTGATTAACGGATTTTCTAATTACAGTAGTCAAATTAGATTCTAAACTTTCGCAATGAAAAGGCATGTAATTTTTATATACTGGATCAAAATTTGAAATAAAGAAACATATTCATGTAGTCCAAATATGTTACCAAATTTGTACTACTATTTACGACTAATCCAATCAAACCTACCGTGATTTTATGAATTCAAAAATACTTGGTTAGGAATTTTAATAACATCGCTTTTTAAAAATCCAATGAAATAATTTTTTTAGACAGCTGTGCCTGAAAGTATTATTCTATTATTTTTTAATGTAATTTTTTTGAATTGTATGATATATTTATATAAATTTTTATTTATTTTTGTTAAATTATCGTATTTTATCGATTTAACATTTCAAATCATTTACAAATAATAAAGTCACATACAAACAAATAAAAAACCTAGCGAATCAAAATACATGATATTCATTAAACTCTTAAAATAAATAAGCCTATGTATAATAAATATCGAGCCGTTTTTTATATTTCAATTATTATTAGAAATCAAAATAAACAATGTCTTAACTTTTTTTTTTATGATGAGATGTTATGAGATGTTAATAATTAATTGAAATTAATTAATTTTGATTCAAACGCAAGAATCCAAATTCCCTTCTACATCTTGTGATTATGCTATTTAACAGTTGATATGAATTATAAATAATAATCGTATGTGAAAAAATATATAAATTTTAAATTGACTTTGTTTTTTAATGAGTGATATATTAAAAAAAAAAAAAAAACAGGTATAAATATGCATGCTAATAGTAGTTATTAAGATTATCTATAGTAATGAATGATATTTCAAACCAAACTGTTGAAGAATTAGCAATCTTTCTTGAATCAAATATGGACTGACATTAAAATTTATTTTTGTATATAATATTTTTTATTGTTCTACAGTTTAGAGAATCGATCCAGATCAAAGTTTAAAAGCTAATAGAATGATTATAATGATCCAGTAAATACAATTGAATCAACCGTCAATAGTACATTATCTACTCTTAGCTCCAAATATAATTGAAGAAATCCGTAATAGCAATCTAAATTTTATTATTGGTAGACCTGAAAAATATTATCAAAATTCTGGTCATATGTTCTTCCTTGTATATTGATTCAAATACAATCCAATTATTTACAAAACTATTAACTTAAAATATCTAATAGGATACATACGAAACTAAAGACAGAAATTTAATATAAGACTAACAAAGGCTACTAGTGTCAAAGTCAAAAACTAACCTCAAAGTTTCAAAATCGTCAATGTTTTAAATTATTTAATATACATATGTGAGGACATTAATGAAATGCTAATTTTTTTTTTACAAGAAAGTTCTTAGCACTATATATGATATGAAAAGTCATTTCGATTCAAATTTTGTAACATATCAAATATCAGCAGTGATAAAAAATGGCAAAAATAAAAATTCAGATAATGACGAAGTTTGATTCATAATTATTTAATTATTAAGTACATGATAAACTTCGTACAAGTCATATAAATTAATTTTAAATAACGATAAATTTCGTACATTTTTAGAAACTCGTTCCGAACAAAAAATCAAACAATTTTAAAATAATTATCAGCAAATATATTTAATAGAAGCATAAATAATTTAATTAAAAACCGAATGACATAATAACTTTTTAATTACATATATCATTTCACATTAGGTTTTTGATGATTTCGAATGTTTTGTAATTTAAAAAAAAATCTCTCAAAACCATTATAATTTTTTCATTTTGTTATGATTTTAATTAATAAAGAACACACGTTGTCAATTTTTTTTTTTTATTATTTTTTATTTAACGAAGAAATGTGGTCGAGAGAAAATTTGAAGGTGTTCATTTACTCACTTTTTCGCTTAATATTTTATTCAATTAATCGTATTAGTAACAAAATAATTTTATCATTCAACATCATTTAAAATAGTATTAAATCATCTTAATTATTTTTTTAACATATTAATCTTTGGATCTATATTTTATATTCAGCTGCAACTGGTAACTTATTATGACTGTTATTGCTTTCAGAACCAGGAATAACAAGTAGATTCTCTCTACATTCCATTCTAGATCTTTGCCATTTATAAATAAAAATTCCAAAAATAGAAAGGATACCAGTTCCTATAATTGCACTAATTGTCGCAATGACAATTATTATAGGTTTTGCTGTATTTTTGTTCGGTTTAATCGGAACATGTTCAATTGTATTTTGAATTTCAAAGGCATTTACCCATGTAAAATTTCTTATATCCATTAAATAGATTTCAGAACTTTTTTGTTCTAATGGATGTAGATTTGATTGTGTGATATTTCCTACCATAAAAAAAACGAGAATAATTGATTAAAGCTTTGAAGCATTTCTTTAAGTTATTTGAAATTTACTCACCAAAAGCTACAATCATGTAATTTCCAACGAGGTCAGCTGTATGAGCTGTAAGTGATGGAACAGTGCCGACATCTGAAGTAACATTTGGTTCACTCCACTCAAATGGATCAATTCTTGTATTCAATACAGCAATATCTGGAACAACTCGGTGATTATAAATACTGCCAACACTTTTAGAACCTCCATAAATAATAATTTTACCATCAGGGGCTTTTTTTAAAAAATATATTAATAATGTTTTTATAATGAATATTTAATAATAATAAAAAGAGGTTATATTTTACATACCTAATACAGCTGAATGCGCAGAACGATTTTCAATCATAGTTGAAAGTTTTGCCATCTACAAATAATAAATATTCAAAATTAATATCAAAAAGGTATGTTTCAATCGTTTAAAACAGCATTCATACATACTTTTAATGACCAGGTTAAAGAATTAGTATCATAAAGATTAATTTGTTTAATATCTACTTCAGTGATGTCTCCGTTTTCCTTAATTTCGTAACCTCCAATATATACAATGAACCCATTCGGTAACAATGTTGCGGTATATGAAGCACGCTTTCTAGGTGCGTCAACTTGAGAAATAATTAACCATGATAATCCGACGGTATCAAAGATGTTCATGTCATTAAAAAATTTGATTGTTGGTGAACCCAAGTATTTTTCAGAACTTCCACCAAATATATATAACTTTCCATCACTATTAACAGCCTTAGTTTCTCTTCGTCTTTCAGGTGAAATTCCTCCAACAGGAGGTATATTCCATGTTGATGAATTTACATTAAAACGATGTATAATCGAAGAAAATGAATCAACTAAATCATTATCTACCATAAAGCCTCCAAATAAATAAATATTTGGATCGTTATTTATATTATTAGATACAACAGTTGCCCATATACTTCCAAATGGAATATTACTGAGTTCAGTCCAGGATGGAATTTTAATATCAAATGGTTTAGATACATCAAGATAAAAAATCTCTCTTGCGATTTGAGATAGTTCTATATTTGTACCACTACCTGCTCCGCCAAAAAAATAAAGCTTATCTTCTACAAGGACGGAGGAATGTGCTAAGCGTCCTTTAGGAGTAAATGATTCAACTCTCAAGAACGTGGAGCAAATCACGAAAGTTATAAATAAGCTTCGAAACTTTAATGATACACTCATATTTCATAAAAAGGAAAAGTAGAAAATAAAAAAGGAAAAGTCAAAAGCTAATGACAATCTAGCCCTTTTAAACATTTTTAACCCAATTATTTGTTTTACAATATTTTGTACAGGTTGCACAAACATTCATGCATACATGCAAGATAGTATTGTAATACACACATACTTTGTGTCAATTACACAGGTTTTCTTAATTCTCCTTAATTAAGATTATAATGAATGAAAAGATTTTTTATGATGAATTATACCAAATTTTCTGTGAAATCGCTTTTAATAAAAGGAATAAACAACTTCATTTGATTATTATAATGTATATATCCTTTTAAAATGACACATCTTGTTTGTTTGTATATTCGATGATCGTGAAGCATAAAAAGAATACCTTTAGATTAGATACCGCCAATATCGTAAATGATCCTACTAAACCTGATGTCGACAACAAATCAAAGAAGATTTCGGATGTTCTTAATATTTTTGATGACACCTCAAAGATGGATATCTCTGAAAACAAGAATGAAAAGGATGATTAAAAAGAAAGGGATAAAGGGAAAGAGAAGGAATGGATATATTGGCCAGTTGCGGTTATTGAATCTAAATTAATTTGTTTTATTCAGAAGGTAGTTATCAAAATAAGTTTCGTGATTAATCAATTATTTCTTGTATTTTTTCGTTTCAAACTTCTTACGTCAAAAAATATTTTTTTTTGAAGTACGGTGAAGACGTACCCCGTTATCCTCGACCTACATACGATACGATAAATTGAATTGGCAAATGCAACTCTTACATCTTGATAAATTGAGTGGACGTTGTAAAGAAAGGCTTTATTTATTAGTTCTTTGTTAATGGCGTACTTGTGTAGCAAATTAATAAATAAAAATAATTCACATGATCTATTGACATAGATGGATATGGGATATCCTATCGAGCTTTCAATATCAGGAAGCCAATGCAAAAAATGAATTGAGTCTTGTAACATTATAATAGTTTTCTATTTTTATTGCAGATTCTAAGAACTTTGTCGAATCTAGTAATCTTGCTAATTCAAAAGCACGTTCATATCTTTCTTCACTAAAAGCTATCTATATTTTTTATATTTAAAGCAATTTAATCAAAATAATATAAAATTTTAAAAATAGCTTAAATGAAATTACGATACTAGCCTGGATTAATTCGATTATGATCTTTTTATATATCTTTCTTCCTTAATTCCGTGATTTTTACAAGTTTGGCCGAAATAATTCATCAATTGCAATTAGCGATAGCCTTTTTTCTAGCTTATTCAGTCTATCTATTGATAACTGTTGCTTCTTCAAAGTTAATAAGCCATTCGGTCAGATCTTCATTCTTATTTCTATAAAAGTAATCAACTTTAATAATATATCCTTCTCTTAGTTAGCTCTATTTACTCCAAAAATACTTTCTAAAGTTTCTCTTATTTGATTTCCCGTTTCTGTAATCATTTCAGGTGGTGGAGTTTCAGAGGCTGAGATAGTTAAACTACGTGTAAAAGAGGTTGGTGAAGCAAGTATTTGATATAATAATTCTCTGTCTTTTTGTATTTGAACTAACGCTTTATCTAATATTTCAATGTATACACTTTGCAAGATAGATAAATTAACAATTTGAAAGTAAAAGAGTCAAATATTCAAAAGAATAAATCTTGGAAATACTTTAATTTTTTATTTTTTACAATGATATTTTTTTATTCAAAATTTGATCAAAAATCGCTATTCCGTCTAGAAATTAAAATTTTTAGAACTAATTAACAAGATTCGTTTTTCGGTTTCAAAAGCTGATTGCAGCGTTTAAATATTTTATTTTTCCACCCTTTGATCATAATCTCCCTTTCGAGTGGGAAATTTACAAAGCAATCCCTCCTTAATATAATTTTACACCAACGCTTTAATTTTTAGAATTACGTCTAAAAGATATTCACATTTTCTTATTTCTTTTACTTTTATCAAGCTTAGGTAAAAAATTTCTAACTTATAAAATTTATCATAGCCGCACTTACTGTACCACGAAAATTAAATAAAATACAATATTAAAATTGGGGACAGAGTATTTTTGTTCTAGTTCTGAATATCGCAGATCAGGCCATTGTCCTACGGCAAATACTGTATGTCAAATTATAAAAATGGCGCCTAAGGAAAGAGGAAATTTGTTGATACTTTCTTTTTGCCTAATTACATTGCTTTAAATTATTATTAATAATTTAATTGAAAATTATTAAACGTTCATTGAAAATATGTTACACGACATTTGTCAAACATTTTGTATTTCAAGGACATACGCCAAATTGCTGCTTCTGGCAAAGGATTTGCATTTAACTTTGAACTATCGGCGTAAAATTAATTTAAAATTTTTTTATTTTTAAAAAAAAAATTATTTTTTATAAATTGCATCATGACTTACAATAGATTATGCTTCATTTACATATTAATTCATCTGTTAATTAGAATTGAATCATTTACTCCCGAAGTAAGACATGCTCATTCATCTGTCCTTGTTGGAAACAAGCTATATATTTTTGGTGGAAAAAATGAAACTGCTTATACAAATGAAGTATTCTACCTTGATGTTTCTCAACAATTTGATACGGGGCTTCCACCATGGACCGACCTTACATTAAATTCAGGAATAGGATTTCGAAGTGGTTGGTCGACTACTGTTGCATTGAATGATGATAATGATGACCCGACAATATTCCTTATAGGAGGATTTATGTTTGATAAATATAGTGATAAAGATGCGTTTACCTCACTAGTACATAGGTTTAATCCAAAATTTGGGCAATGGGATGCACTTATAATTTCTGGAAAAGAGCCTGATAGAAGAAGAGACATTCAAGCTGTGGCTGATGATTCAGGAAAAATTTAAGTTTTTGGCGGATACACTAGTAAGTTGACAGGGTCAAATGTTGAACAATTTTTAAATGATATGATAATATTAAATACCAAAGATATGGCGTGGTCATATGGTTCAATTGCTAATTATCCTATCAATCGAATTGTTTATACTGCAACATTGTTATCAAATGGTATGATTGCATATATTGGAGGTAGGGAAAAAACTATTGATAATATTTCTAGAGAAGTAGATATTAACCAAATCGACCTTTATGATACCAAACTTAACAACTGGTCAGTAATGGTGAGTATATGAAATCATTTATTATAATTCTTTACATAAAATAATTAATTAAAAATCAAAAATTTATTTAAGCGAGCAAGAAGTATTAATCACATTGAATCTCGCTACGGTCATTCGGCTGTATTAGGTATAGATTATTATCGTTTATTATTTTATTTTCACATAATCTACATAATTTTTTTTAATTTTTACATAGTTCAAGATGAAAACATAATTATAAATGGTGGGTCCAAAGGCAATAGTAGTAAATCTATTAAACCCATACCAGACCTGATTGTTTTGAATACTCAAACGACACCATATGAATGGATTGTACCGCAAACATTATCAAATATTGGTGTATTTCCATCACTAACTTATCATACAGCAAATTTATTTGAAAATTATATGATTGTTGCTTTTGGTAATATTCCTTATACTTAATAGATAAAATCTCTATTTTGACTTATCTAATAAATAAATGATTTTTTAAATTTATATAGGTCTTCTTACCCATCCAAATGGATTAGCAGCATTTTCTAGATCGAACAAAATTTTTTTGTTAGATATACGAAACTATACTTGGGTTGATAAATTTGAACCAAAAAGTATATCTAATTCTACATCTTCAAATAAAACTTCGTCGGCTTCTCCAAACGCCGTTGATGTTGATAAAGTCAATACAATGAAAGTTGTAATTGGTACAATAAGCGGAATTTTAGGCACCGCAATTTTCATGACGATTGGATTCCTTGGCTATAAATGGTATCAAAAACACAAACAAAAGGAAATTAAGGAAATTATAAGAATACCTGGTAATACTTCTGAGGCACATAGCAATAATTTATAACTATTAATTCTTTTATGATCTAATTTATTTATATTACAATTCATTATTCGTTTCTTTATTGTGCAATAACAAAATATATAATAAAATTAAACTGTAGACGAGAACCTATTTCATGGACTATTTTTTTGATTAACAAATAAAAATAGTAATTTTGACATACAAATATTTAAGTATTTCAAGTTATGAGTTTATTTTATCACTCTCTTATTTTGTTTACAATACCTTATTACATTATATTATAGGAAATTACGTATTCAATATTCTGCGTTGCATAATGTCTTCATATTGAACCGTAATGTCCAATAATTATATTATTTCGGCAGACCATGTTTAAAGTTTAATTTTTTTTATTAATCTTTTTTTCTTTTGATATTATTTTACTTATATTTTAGCAATGAAAGAATTTACCTACTTAAGTAAAATAATAATGGTAAAGTAATTTTTAAATACTTCATTTTCTACTTAGAAGAGAAAAGCTAGAGCTATGATGCTTTTCACGTTTACTTTTATTTCCTTTTTGTTTATACTTATGTCATTTGTCAGTATCTTCTTCAACTTCGATTGAATTATCTGAACTGAGAGAAATCTTATCAATGATAGATTCACCAGCAATGGGCACGTGACCGATGTGACCGAAAATGGAACCATTTTTTGTGTTGGAAGAATTAGCTACACAATAACTGGAACTATTTTTGCGCTCCAGTCTGACAAACATCTATCATAAATTATTCATCATTTACCTTCGAATCTATACATTTTTTCTTGATAGCAGCTTTCAATCATTTCTCTCATGTAATCAGCTTGCATCTGAAAAGCAATCCGTTCTTAAAAATAAGTCTACGTAAAATGATTAATACCTGATCCATCATCACGGTTTTATTATTTAATTGACTCATAATTGTGATTTTTTTCTCACTATCATGCAATTTGTCTTATGAACTATTTTTTGATTTGTATTTTTTTTGCTTTTTCATTAGAAGTTCACTGTCTAGCTGCTTTAACGATGAATTTGATGATGGTGTCAATAATGACGAACTAATTATAATATGATAATAGCGGAATTGTATTTAGCTTGTTCATATAGATAATTATAAATAAAATAACATTATTAATAATAATGTTTGCGACTTGAAGATTTCCTGTTTCATTTTCATTTTTCTTATGTCTATCGTGGTATTATATTTAACTTTGTACAAGATCACGTCGACTCAAACATTTCTATGGGGCATATTGTATCAAAAGTTTGTTCGTTATTATAAGGTTGAGATTAAAAAAAAAAATTTCCAAATATAAGTTCTTTTATACTTGATAAGGAAATTTATTTCATGATCACGTGATACATGATGTTGTTAGATCTGTTTAAAGTATAAATTTAAAAAAAGGATACGATGATATAAGTTTTTTTGAATTGTCATAATAATAATAATTAATTGTTATAAAACTCTGGTTGATTATTTAACGTAAAATTTTTCTTTATTGTGAATTAACTCTTAAAATTTTCAATACTAATAACAATCGTTAAAAAAAATGATCAAGAACACTTTAAGAAATCTAAGCAATAACTAGATAAAAGAAAAGAATGGCAAAATTTGAAACTAGTTATAATACAACATGTTATTGTGATGAATGTATTGGTAAAGAAGTTAATCCAAGAATGAGAACTTGAAAACGGTCATTTACGTCAAAATAACCTAATAAATAGCACATACTTCTGATGATTCTAAGAAAAACGTAGTTAAATTTCCTATAGTTTGAATGCATCTTTAGTTCGTCTTTATCTATAGAAGAACATCAAAATTAAGAACTAGACATAGATATGATCAATTTCATCATGATAATCTTATTCGGGATGAATAAATAATTCGATCACCAGGTTCGTCAAGTGAAGAAGAATGGCAACAATCGCCATGAGAATATATCTAAATGATTATAACATATATAAATTAACATCAACTAAATAAAGAAATAAAAAAAATTACTGATGTAAGCAATACTTATAATTTAAAATTTCCTTCTTTTATCTTAATTTGAAATTTTCAAATATAAAGTTAAACATGTCGAAAATCGAATCTTTATATCGAGTTTTGACTATATCACACTGTTAAGCTTAAACTGTTCATCGTTGAGTTAACAAAGACTATTTGCTAGCAGGGAGTTTAAGTGCGTCTAAACTATGAAAGAGATAAACACAAATAATTAAATTGAAGGGTCAGGTCGTCTTTATTGATATAGATTTAAAGAAGAATGAATTATTAACGAGCCGAGCAAAGATAAGTTTTAAAGATAAATATTATTGATTTTATTAGAGATTGTAGCGACTATGCCATTTATTGAGGCAGAAATACAAGATATTTATATAAAATATATCAATATGAAATAGATATTTTATATAGTAAAGAAATATAAGAAATATAATAAAATAAAGAAATTAAATATATTAAAGAAATTAGAGATCGCTAAGAAATTATAGAAATGTGAGAAATTAGTGATCATCAAGATTACCATTCGTCAATTATGTTTGGCGCAGTATCGTGCGTCATAACAAGACTATCATAAAAGAAATGAGCGAAACATAAATACATAATTATATCCCCAAATAAAGGGAGAAACCTTAACACAGCCAGAAAAAATAATATTATAGAAAAGCCCATGCATATTTTGCCAGAAGTATAGCTCAATGGAATTTGTTACCCTTTATCATTTTATGAGTGGAAAAGTTGGGCGTGTTAATCCTTTTTTAAGGTTACATATGAAAAATGGGCTACAGGCAAAAAGCTAAGTAATAAATAAATCACTGTCGATGCTTATTTGCTCAAGATAAGCGAAACTCAGGTAGGATTCATAATTTTCATGGCTATTTTTTAATAATCACATTAAGTTTCTTTCACGAAAAAATTTAGGATTTATATATGAAGATGATTTTCAAAAGATGGCCATGGATAATCAAGACGCACGCAAGAATCGCTTTTAATATGCAAGCAAAGCTTCAAATGTTTTGGGCGAAAATAGTTTCGCCTAATTGAATACAAAGTGTTTCCAAATTATGGTTTCGACACTGGGCGAAAAGTTTTGTATTTGAGAAAACTGAAACACTAAAACTTCAAATGTTGGATACACAGTACTAGATGATCCCATTCTATCTTCCATTACGGATTCTGTTTATCTGGAAGATTGGATTACACAAAAATAGCGACACCTCGGAATCCTTTATTTATAAAGCAGTAGGGGAGACTATAAGCGCTGATAACCTTAGCGAAATTAAAAATCATTGGTAATTATTTCTATTTAATTAAGTAAGATTATAGCATTCAATATTATCTGGTCATTAACATTTTTGGCTTAATTTTTTTTTAGTCAACATTTAAGAGAAGTAATAAATACTTAAACCAAACAGAAGAATAAATGAAGGATGTGATGTGGGCAGGCAAATGTCTCGACATTTACATTTATCGTAATCGATAGAGATTTTGCCGGTATTCAATATGTAAACAATGAACTAGAGGTGGAACCGGCTAAGACGGTTCGGTTATGTTGGCCTGTGTTAAATTTAACAGGTTAATTAGGTTGATAAACCAGTTAAAGAAATTTTTAAACAGTTATTAACCGGTTATGGATTTTTGGGCTGGTACCAACACTACAATAAACGTCAGTCGACCGGTTCTAAAAGAATAAGAAATTTTAGCATTCAGAAGATGAAGAAAACAGAAGAAGAAGAAAATTCGAAAGTTAGAATACCAAGATAACATGCTCAAAAACAAAATATTGCATTTGAATATTTTGTTGGCGAAATTTTTAAAATTTTATTCAATCAATCCAGAAAGAAAACATTCTCGGATTTATTTAAAATGTACAAAATTATGAAAGATAATTAAGATACGATTGTATCATTTTTACAATTAATATGTATCGCATCAGGATGATTTGAGAAATTTGGAAATATTATGGAATCCTGATGTCAGGGATTTTTTGCTCGATGGGAGATCTCATTAGTCGACTTGCTCGTGTTGCCAGAATAGAAATTCCAATTAATAATAAAAATAATGATTATTAACCGTGGATTGATCATTTGGCTTATTCATTGAACGCTCAACCTTTCATGATAAGCAAATTGATCCGAAAATTAAAAAAGAAAGGTTGGAGGACGAAGAAATATAAAAATTTACTTCTTTCAACTATCCCAGAATCAATAAGTTCTCCAAAGATTAGGCATCTTTTACTAATGAGAGCCAATGTGAAGTTGATGAAGAACTGAATTAGAACAGACGAGCAGAACTCCATCATACCAAAGATATAATGACAGAGCTTAAAGAAGTCTTTTTTTATTTTAATTTTTTTTTGGTGATTTTGTTGTTATCTGTAATTGTACTATACTAAATCTTTATAAAACCTATTCTAAGAGGGATTTATATTATGATACAAGTACAAGAAGGTAGAAAATGAAAATTTTTTATGTATAATTCTTAGTTAACAACTCTATAAGTTTGGTATCATAAATATCATTAAAATACATTAATTAATCAATTTGTTTCAACGCAAGAATCCAATTTTCCCTTCTACTTCTTGTGATTGGGCTAATAAACAAATGATACGAAGAATAGCATATGTGAAAACATATAATCATAAATTTTTAAATTTTCTTATTCTTTAATCAGGTGATAAATTAAATTAAACAAAAGATAAATGGTTATTTATCTCGCAAAACAAAAAAAAGAAGTATTGATTATATAATCATAAATTCTCTAATTGAAATTAAAATTCATCTATAGAAATAAATGATGTCTAGTCTCAAATTGATAAAGAATTAGCAATCGATCTTGAATTAAATGTGAGTAGATTGACATTAAAATTTATTTTGGTAGTATATCACATTAAGAGAATTAACCAAGATCAACCAGTAAATGAAATCACCGCCAATAGAACTAAAAAAAAATCTCAAAATTCTGGTCACATGTTATGATACATATTCGTTCTTCCATGTATATTGATTCAAATGCAATCCAATTATTTTTAAAGCAATTAACTTAAATATGTAAATACTTACCGAAACTAAAGACAAAGTTTAATAAGACTAACAAACGCTACTAATGCTAAATTCAATACTTTATCGACCAAAAAAGAACCCAACAGAATCGTCAATGTTTTATATATACATGTGAGTATATTAATGAAATGCTATTTCTTTTTAGCATAATATATATGAAAAGTCACTTCGATTCAAATTGTTCTGATAAGAATAAAATATGACAAAAATAAGATGATTATAAACCTCCTTAATATATATAACAAAATTCAGATAATGATGATTATTAATATTTAAATCGGACAAAATCAAACAATTTTAAAATAATTATCAGAAAATAGCCTTAATAGGGACATATATATATATTATTAAATAGATTAATTAAAAAACGTTGAAATAAATAAAATAGAAGAAAATTTATTCAAAATATATGATATAATAAATTCTTTAATTGCATCATTTATTCACTTATTCACTTAAATATTTTAAACAATTCAGAGAATTTGTAATACAATCAATCGTATTAATAACAAAATAATGTTATAATTCAACATCATTTAAAATATTAAAATAATTTTAATTATTTTTAACATTTTATATTCAGCTGTGACTAGTAATTTATAATGCTTTCAGAACCAAGAATGTTCTCTCTACTTATCTCCTAGATCTTTGCCATCTATAAATGAAAATTCCACAAATAGAAAGGATACCAGTTCCTACAATTGCACTAATTGTTGCAATGACAATTATTATAGGGTTTGCTATATTTTTATTCGGTTTAATCGGATCATTTTCAACTTCAATTTGAACTTCATTTTGAACTTCAAACGTATTTATCCATGTAAAATTTCTTATATCCATTAAATAAATTTCAGAACTTCTTTGTTTCAATGGTCCAGAATTTGGTTGTGTAATATTTCCTATCATAAATAATAATAAAAATAATTAATTAAAACTTTGAAGCATTTTCTATAAATTAATTAAAATTTTACTCACCAAAGGCCACAATCATGTAATTTCCAACAAGATCAGCTGTATGAGCTACAAGTGATGGAACCGTACCGATATTTGAAGTTACCTGAGGTTCACTCCATTCAAATGGTTCTATCCTTGTATTTAAAACAACAGTAACTGGAGCAACTTGTGCATTTCTAATATCGCCTACTTTTTTAATACCTCCATAAATAATTATCTTATCATCTGGGGCTTTTTTACAAAACAAATAATGAATTAAGAATATATAGTATTATCAAAGCAAAATGATTATTATACATACCTAATACAGCTGTATGTGCAGCACGATTATCAATTTGACTTGAAACATTTGCGATCTATAAAATCATAAACATTAAAAATTAAAATAAATGGATAATTTTTCGATAGTTTGAAACATAATTAATACACACCTTTAATGACCAGGTTAAAGAATTTGTATCAAAAAGATTAATTTGTTTAATATCTACTTCAGTGATGTCTCCGTTCTCCTTAGATTCATAACCTCCAATATATACAATATAACCATTTGGTAATAATGTTGCAGTATATAAAGCTCGTTGTGTCGGTGCGTCAACCGAAGAAATAATTGACCATGATATTCCAACGGTATCAAAAATGATCATATCATTAAAAAATTTGGTTGTAGGTGAACCCAAGTAATTATTAGTACTTCCACCAAAAATATATAACTTTCCATCACTATTAACAGCCTTAATGTCTCTTCGTCTTTCAGGTGAAGTTCCGCCAACAGGAGGTATCCACCACGTAGAGGAATTTACATTAAAACGATATATTATCGAATTAAATGAATCAGACAGATAATTATCTAACATATAACCTCCAAATAAATAAATATTCTGATCGTTATTTATGTTATTATATTCAACAGTTGCCCATACGCTTCCAAATGGAATATTACTGAGTCTAGTCAAAGGTGGAATTTTTATATCAAATGGTTTAGTTACATCAAGATAAAAAACTTCTGTTGCGATTTGAATTAGTTCTATATCTGTATCACCACCTGCTCCGCCAAAAAAATAAAGCTTATCTACTACAAGGACGGAGGAATGTGCTAAACGTCCTTTAGGAGTAAATGATTCAACTCTCAAGAGCATAGAACATATCACGAAAATTATAAATATGCAACAAAATTTTAAAGGTATACTCATATTTCATAGAAATTAACAACGTAGAAAGTAAAAAAGGAAAATCAAAACTAAAACAACAACCTTAGCCTTTTTATTATACTTGATCTTTTATTTTTATCCCGATCATCAATTCTTTGTTGTTACATATTTGTACAGGTTGCACAAACGTTCGTGAATTCATGCAAGAAGTGTAATACACATTGTTTGTCAAGGATTACACAGGTCAGGTATACTTAATTCCCACTTCCGTCATCATATTTTTAACAAAACACGGTTGTATTTTTGAATATATTAAATTTATGACATAATGCATATCATCTCTAATGAGATTTTAATAGCAAACCCCCTATAATATCAATTTTAAATAAAAATTTTGACATAATATACGACCGTTCAAGAATTTAAAATTATAACGGTTTATGAGGAATGATATTTCTTCGATGTTCCCATGGGCTTCTAAACGAAATCACTGCTTAAAAGAATAATCAACTTTATTTGATTATTACAATGTACAATATAATGTATATATCCTTTTAAAAAAGAAAAATTCACTTTAAAGCCTACTTTTATGTTATTACGAAGCAGATAAATATAAATTTATCGTATATTTACGGGATAACTCATTTAGTAAATCGCAACAGAACAGTTGAAACGTATGTTTTTTTTCAACTATCGACTGTTTTGTTTGAAAATAATGTTGGAGTTTCGACGGACGATTTTATGATTTAAATTTCGCCGGTGACGTCGAAAATTCGCCACAAACTTAAAGTATTGATAGATAAAATAAAAGAATAAGAAATAAAGACTTCTTTGTTAACCAAATGTATTATACAGTAACTTCTTTATGAATTCTCAGCGAACGTGCTAATAAAATGTGAGGCAATTATTTTTCAATGTTTTTCTTATTAATCATGACTCAAAGAAATTTAGATTAAAAAGTATGATTATTAAACTTAACATTTTCTTCATATCCTATTTCATTCTAATTTATTTTGTCAAGTTACTTTCTTTAATCATACGAAGTCACAAGGATTCATTTAAATACATGCGTGAATCAAAGAAGTTTTTTTTGTAAATAATTGTCGCAAATTCTCGTTCCCTCTTCTGATTTTTTTGCCATTTGTAAAGTCGAATCCATAAATAGAAAGAATACCAATTGAATAAACTACTATAATTGCAATTTTTTTAATTTATTTTGGTTTAGGCGTTGTTAGTGATAGTCTTGTTATGACGCACGATACTGCGCCTAACATAATTGACGAATGATAATCTTGACGATCAACTTTCTACCATTTCTCTGATTTCTCTAATTTCACTAATTTCTTAGTGATCTCTAATTTCACATATTTCTTTAATATATTTAATTTCTTTATTTATTATATTTCTTATATTTCTTTACTATCTTAAATATCTATTTCATATTAATGTATTTTATATAAATATCTTGTATTTTTGCCTCAATAAATGGCAGAGTCGTTACCAATTCTCTAATAAATCAATAATATTTATCTCTAAAACTTATCTTCGCTCGTAAACTTAATTCATTCTTCTTTAAATCTATATCAATAAAGACAACCTAACCTTTCAATTTAATTATTCGTGTTTATTTCTTCCATAGTTTAGATGCATTTAAACTCTCTGCTAGCAAATAATCTTTATTAACAATGAACAGTTTAAGCTTAACAGTGTATCGGTATTGTGTTAATCTCAAATGAATTCACTCAAGTAAGTTTATATTCATTAAATAAATATTAGAGTTACAAAGTCCCAAAAGCGCACAATTAAATATCATAAATAACAATATGAATTAATAGTTAAAGCTTATTTCTATGAATTAAAGCTCTGCATAAGCCAAATCAGCTCTCGAGTCTCATGAGCTGGCTCACGAAAGCTCGGCTTGAGCCACTATAAAATAGCTCACGACCTGATCAAGCCAGCTCATGCTATGACTCAGCTTATGACGCGATTCAGCTCGTCAGCTTAGATTTTTTATTTTTGAAAAAAATAATCCAGGAGTATTAACTTCAAAGAAACACGCTTTCAGCAACAATTTCTTAGAAATTAATGATTCTGGAAATGATTCTTCGAAGTTAAACGATTCTGACAATGATTTCTTAGAAAAAAAAATGATTCGGTAATGTTTTCTTCAAAGAATAATGCTCCGGGAGAATTATTTTTAATTTATAACACTTCAGAATCATTATTTATAATTTATAACGCTTCTGAAATATTATTTTTAATTAATAACGCTTCTGGAGCATTTCTTTAAATAAAAATGCTTGCAGAGTGTTAAATTTATAAAAATAACGCTTCCAGAGCGTTACATTTAATAAAAATGCTTCTGGGGCGTTAATTTTAAATTGAAACGCTTCTGGCACGTTTCTTTTAAATAAAAAATGCTTCTGAAGCGTTTCTTTTAAATAATAATACTTCCAGAGCATTTTTTTGAAAGAATAGCCTCTGTGGCTTTTCCATTGAAATGAAATATTTCCGGAGGCATTTCCTTAAAGCGAATCGTTCCCAAAGGCATTTCTTTGAAGAAAATCATTTCTGAAGACATTTCCTTAAAAGTATTGCTTCTGTGTCTTTTCTTTTGAAGGGAATCATTTCCAGAGGCGATACAATTGAAGGAATTGCTTCTGTGGCTATTCCCTTGAAGGCTATTGCTTCTGTGTTTTTTCCTTTAATGGGAATCATTTCCAGAAGCGTTTCCTTGAAGGGAATCATTACTGGAATTGTTTTTTGAAAAATTGTTTCTGTGGCTTTTCTTAAAAGGGAAAAAGCCTCTGTGGCTTTCTCTTTAAAGGAAAGCACTCAATTTTTTTAAATGA